TTAGCTCGATTTTTATTTAAGTGAATGATTTATTGCTTTATTATATTTTTCGCATAATTTGTCAATACTTTTCATAATTTTCACCTAGTCAGATTTTGTAAATGGAATTTAGATGTTTTGTTATTATGTGCAAAGAAATACTTGTTGCATAATTGAATAAACAAATACACAAATGTTGTGTGTTATGTGACTGTCGTCATGTGATGAACATTATAACAAACCGACTAGCACCGACATTTAACATATTTTCTTGATTTTTCTCATCAGTTACTAACAACAATTTACCGTTAGTTGCTTTATTATCTATTAGACTAATTTGCTGTCAATCATACTGGTTTGCCTGATGACTTACTGCATCTCATATTAAAAACGTTTTAGTTACTAGTTTTACTAAAAATAAATTAAAATTAAATAAACCCAAACCACTGCTGGCATTTGACATTTATTTTGATGTTGTATCAGTAATACATTGACTGGAGACAAGTGTCTATGCTGCCTACCACTGACTACCAAACCACACGTGATGTTGATTGATGCACACAGCTGATAGAACTTTGACATATTCGCATCAAAAACTGCTGCTGCTCCATACAATTTTTATTATTTCCACATGCACACCCTATCTACCTGTTCCCCTTCACTGTCCCTGTCTCTTCCTGGTAGTTCAACCTGGCAACGAGAGTATTGACAAAAAATGTGCCATTTTGATAGTGGGTATAACTCAGCAAGAGTGGCGATGGATGGATGGTGCATGGAACACATGGTCACAAGTCATTTAGGCTAACGATAATTTTAAACTGACATTTTTGCAACCACCGGCAGCGGCAGCGACTTTAGTAATTGGAAGTGCCTAGAGCCGTACCGATTAACACTACTAACAAATGGTGGCTGATGTCGGAGAAGATGAGATGAGTGTTCCTAGCTGAGTGAAACGACAGCACTGCAGTCACTTTCTTTCTTTCTCTCTGCTTACATTTTCCCGTGTGTAGCAGCTGTCGAAGTGCCGTCGTACAGTCAATCAGTCAATTGGTGCCGGCGATAGTGCTCCGATTGTTTTCCTTTCCCTCTGGGTTATTTTTCATTGCCCCTTTCCTCACTTGACACCTCAAACTAAATACTGAAGGCACTAACACCGGAGATTGGCCCCCTCTTTTCTTAATCACGTTTCTCAAACAAATGTACATTCACACACACATTTTCCGGTCAACTTGAGTCTTATGTTAAAGGAGAGCAGTACATAGTGAGGACACTTACTCACTCACATGCTTAACCCTAATTACAGTGAGCGGTTTCGGGAGTTTTCCTTTCTCTCCATTCTTTTCCCTCTCTACTTCTGTGTGTGTGTTTGCTGCCACACTTCTGACACTTGCCGTCGCGTGACTTAATTAGAGCAATTAGTTGTTTTACTTTTCCTTCTTTTTCCACTTCTTCTGTCAATGCTCAACCAAAGCCAAAAGGATGTTTTTATTAGAGAAACCTCAGTCACCGCACCGGTGTTTAGTGAGTGCTTTTAGTCTGCCTTTAACCACAGCTTCTCTAGTAGTCTTCAGCGCAGTCTACACCATTGAGGAAAGTACAGTGCTTAAAGTGAACTACTACTTCATGGCAACTAATCACTGTTGGCAGATTATCAGTAGTTGAGCATCTTAAAGAGGCGGCATCCTGTTGTAGCCTCTCGCCAATTCAATGTTGTTCCTTTGTGTTTCTTTTTTCTTCTTTTTCTCTTTCTTTGATATACGCCGATAAATTCTCTGTTTTTAATCTAGCGATTTATGAGCGAAATGAGCAGTACCTGTTGCACTGAATAGTACTAGTATGGAACAATAAAACAAAACTCACAGTTTTTGCGTGTGTTGTGCGTGTGCTCTGCGACAGCAGTCTTCATTAGGCAAACTCCCCATTAATCAGCCATTAAATCACAAACAGTGCAGTCTGCAATAACATTGCAAATTTAGCTCATTACGTGAGGCGCTTCTATGTTAATAGTGTGTGTGTGCATTTGGAGCGGAGATCACACAACGCGCCAACATTGGCTACATTTTTTAGATTCTTAGATTAGTTTGTAGCATTACCAAACAAAAGTATGGTTGCACTGTATTTGACATTTTTTGGCTGACTGTTTTTTCAGTTTGCTAATACACAACAAACTTTTTTTGATAAAGGCACAAATGCTTAATTTGATGGCACATTGTTTAGACCAAATAAATTAATTATCTGCTCTATCTCTTTTTTTACTGAACACATGAACTGTCATTTGTGTGTTCTTTTTTCTTTCTCTCTGTCTCTGTTGTCTCTGTTGTCTGTTGTGTGGTGTGAAGCGTCTGCAAGCCTGCAATAAACCTGTCTTTGCGAGACACTCTAGCCGACCATCTGATGACATCATTGCGCTCACTTGATGACTGCTGCTGCTTTCTCTGCTGCTAACTGCCATTGTCTCTCACTTACTTTCTCCATTTTCTTTTTTCCATTTCTTATTGTCTTCTTATTGTCTGTCTGAATTGCCTAGTGTGCCTAGTGTTCTTGCACTAAACCATTATACACTGCAACTTGTTGCCTGCTTTGCAGTTGACACTTTAACACAAAAAAACACCTTCCCACTTTCTTTTTCTTTTATTTTCATTTAATTATTTGTGCTTGCGGCCAATAGATCAGCTCATCATTAACTTTATGAAAAAATCATGTTTTTACAGTCTGATCAAAATCGTTGTTCATAAAAGTTTTCTTTTATTTTTTACATTTTCAAAAGATTGCTCTTTTTCTCTCTTTCTCTCTTTTCTTCCCATTACTGACCGCTTAACCCAATGCCTCAGTTGTCTTTATCTAATCGACAGTTTTATGCGGGTTTTATAAAAAAAGCTGCAGTCACTCTATGATCCTCGACGTGTCTGCAGACAAAGGCACTAACAGCAGCAGCAAAACAAGCTAATTGAATCAGCCATTTGTTAGTGTGTGCCACCAGTATATCACCTGTAAAGTGACGCAGAAGGTGACAATGTCGGACTTCACTATAAATACCACAACAGCGGCATTGTTGTGTCTGCTGGTTGCTTCACTGCTGTTGCTGTCTCCTTTGCTGCTGATAAAACTCAACACGCATAGAGAAAAAGTGCTGAAAAGTCAGTGAAAAAAAGAAAGAAGGGAGAAAGTGCATTTTTGCAGACAGTCACTAATTTTAATTGTCATCGATTTTCGCTGCCTTCTGTTCCTAATCTTCCGCCCGCTAACTGCTAGGTCAAATTTAGAACTAACACATAATAGTGCAAAAAGGAAACTCCGAAACACTTTCGGTACTTTTTCAATAGGTCAAAATACAAATTGATTAACGCTAGCAATTCAACATCGTCAAGTGTGTCGTTTTTATTCAAGGTACACTTTGTGTAATCAAGCAAATAGTGTTTAGGTATTTCTAGTCAAAACTGCAATAGCAGCAGCATAGCACTTGCAAACAAACTGAGATTTGATCAGCCGATGTTTGAGTGCAAGGCGCAGCGGAAACTGTCAACAGATAATTTAAAGTGCCATCAAAGGCAAATACTTTAAACCTTTTTACCCACAACTTAATTAGTCACTCATCGTTTGCTTTTTCCTGTGATTTCATTAGTAGTAACCTTAGTTCATTCCAAAGAAGTGTTTGCCCCACTATGTTATATACCTCACTGGTTGACCTGTAGATTAGAAAGTAGAGAAGAAACATGTAGGAAATAGAAAACGTGCCTATGTGTGTGTGTCTGTGCAAGCGTTTTAGAGCAATACCGTTATCTGAGCCTTTTTAACAAGCGGATGAGAGAACCTGTTTTTTCCCTCTCATTTGAGAGAGTAGTACTGCCCCGTTCAAAACCTCAGACGCCGGCACGACTGCTTTTACCGCCACTAGTTTTGTCAACAGCAGCAACTCATGAGCTAGCAAAGAAGTGAACAAATCGGCATGCGCTTTGGCACTGGTCAAGACAGTGCTGCTGCTGATAACAATCACATCGGTTATGGTGACGGTTGCTCCTGCCTGCCTGCCGGTCTTTTACCCCTTTTTATTTATCGGAACAAACAACTTGACTTTCTTTGACTTGTGAGTGTGTCGATAGATGGGCAGATAGAAGATAAACCCAAAGATGGGCAGTGACATTTCTAGCGGTGGTGGTGGTGGTGGTAGTGGTGGCGCGCAATGCATGTCTTGCAATCGCTCGTCAGCTGTACCCAATGGCAGTGGCCACCACCGCCAGTCTCTGTCGCCCAGTCACTGGCACAATTTTTTTGGTGTTGGAGAGTGGCGACAGCGGCGGCGGCGGCGGCGACGGCANCAGCATCGGTGGCGGCGGCGGCGTCGCTGTCGCCGTCGCCGTCACCGTTGGTCGCCGTTGTACAGTCACGCCGTACAGCAGACAGACAGACAGTTAGTGCAGCCGCAGCGACCACTCATCACGTCACAGGAGTGGCAGGAGCATCCGAGCAGAGCAGGCAGAGCAGCAGTACCACCACTTGTCGCCTGTGAGACTTCACCAGCAGCACCACCACCACCACAGTTTAGTGCTCACACCACTGAGCAGTAGTGTGATAGGCACGGCTTTCCTTCCCTTCTCTTCTTCCAACACTCTAACGGTGTTCCTACGCCGGTCGCCGTCGCCGCCGCCGCCGCTGCCACTTTTGTTCAGCAACAGCTCGCTTTCATTTTCTCTTCTCTCTCTCTCTCCTTCTTCACTATCAGACACTATCAGCAAGCTTTTTCTGTCACTTTTCTACAGTTCTTTTTGGTGTGTATCACTTGGTGCGTCCGGTTTTTGTGGTGTCTCTCATTATTTTGTGTTCCTCTTGAAGGCTGTTTTGGTGTTGCTCCTTTTTTTCACCCTGCGCGCTTTCTCTCTCTCTTTCTCTCTCTTCTGACCAACATTTTTGCACAGTGAACTAATCTAATTGACGTGTGTTTTTCAATTCTCGTTTTCTTTTCTCTTCTTGCAGTTGGAACTTCGTTGAACAACCGACACACTCCCAATACCCCAAACGCCAAGATGCCTCGAGCAATCAACGTGCGCGTCACGACGATGGACGCCGAGCTGGAGTTCGCCATCCAGCCCTCGACCACTGGCAAGCAGCTCTTTGACCAGGTGGTGAAGACCATCGGCCTCCGTGAGATCTGGTTCTTTGGCCTGCAGTACATCGACTCGAAAGGCTTCCCCACCTGGCTGAAGCTGAACAAGAAGGTGATGAACCAGGACGTGAAGAAGGACAACCCGCTCCAGTTCAAGTTCCGTGCCAAGTTCTTCCCGGAGGACGTCTCCGAGGAGATCATTCAGGACATTACCCTGGTAAGTTGAAAAGTTGGGGTTTTTTTGCGCCTTTTAACTAACTGTGAAAAACTTTCTTTTTTTCCAGCGTCTGTTCTACCTGCAGGTGAAGAACGGCATTCTCTCCGACGAGATCTACTGTCCGCCGGAGACCTGCGTCCTGCTGGCGTCGTACGCCGTCCAGGCCAAGTACGGCGACTACAATGCGGAGCTGCACAAGGAGAACTGTTTGCAGAATGACCGTCTCCTGCCGCAGCGTGTCTCCGACCAGCACAAGCTGACACGCGAGCAGTGGGAGGAACGCATTACCAACTGGTGGAACGAGCACAAGGGCATGGCCCGCGAGGAAGCGATGATGGAGTACCTGAAGATCGCCCAGGACCTGGAGATGTACGGCGTCAACTACTTCGAGATCAAGAACAAGAAGGGCACCGAGCTGTGGCTCGGTGTGGACGCCCTCGGCCTGAACATCTACGAGAAGGACGACAAGCTGTCGCCAAAGATTGGCTTCCCCTGGAGCGAGATTCGCAACATCTCCTTCAACGACAAGCGCTTCGTCATCAAGCCGATCGACAAGAAGGCACGCGACTTTGTCTTCATTGCGCCCCGCCTGCGCATCAACAAGCGCATCCTGGCGCTGTGCATGGGCAACCACGAGCTGTACATGCGTCGCCGCAAGCCGGACACCATCGAGGTGCAGCAGATGAAGGTAAGCCTTTTGGAAGTTTTTATCAACCAAAAAGTAAACACTTTTTAACCTTTCCTTGTTTAGGCTCAAGCCAAGGAGGAGAAGGTGGCGAAGCAGCAGGAGCGCGAGAAGCTCCGCAAAGAGATCCAGGCCCGCGAGCAGGCGGAGAAGAAGCAGCAGGAGTACGCGGAGCGCATCAAGGTGATGCAGGAGGAGATTGAACGCCGCCAGCGAGACCTCCTCGAGGCGCAGGACACCATCCGCCGACTGGAGGAGCAGCTCCGTCAGCTGCAGCTCAGCAAGGAGGACATGGAGAAGAAGCAGCGCGAGCTGGAGGAGCTGTACACCAAGCTGGCCGAGTCGAAGATGCTCGAGGAGGAGGAGCGCCTGAAGCTGGAGGAGGAGGTGCGCATCAAGCAGGAGGAGTTCGAACGGGTCCAGCAGGAGGTCCAGCAGAAGGACGAGGAGACACGCCGCCTGCAGGAGGAGGTGGAGGAGGCCCGCCGAAGACAGGAGACGGCCGCCGCCGCTCTGATTGCCGCCGCCACGCCGCAGCACATTCACGTGAAGGAGAATGACCACGAGGAAAATGACGACGAGTTGATGAACGGTGACGGTACGAGCCAGATGTCTGATGGTACAGTCAATTGATGATGATGATGATGATAACACCGAGGACGCCGGAAACAGACCTTCTTCTGTTCCGGTGTTCGCCTTTTCCTTTGCCTTGCCCGTTTACCTCTTAACGCCTCTTTTACTAACCTCGTTTTCTTCTTTTTATTTTATTTTTCTGCAGTTGAGGTGCAGTTTAACGGAGACTCTGACAGCGCCATCGACGTGCCGCGACCCGAGGAGGAACGCGAGACGCAGGTGTCCAAGAAGAAAGACCTGCAGGAGCAGCTCAAGGTATGCTTACCGCCTATCAAGTGTTTTTCCCTGCTTACAGTGTTCTAACTTTGGTACTCTTTTTACTCCTTTTAGCAACTGAGCAAAGACCTGGCGCTGAACAAGGACGACAGCAAGGTGACAAAGAACGACGTCTTGCACCAGGAGAACGTGAAGATGGGCCGTGACAAGTACAAGACGCTGCGAGAGATCCGCAAGGGCAACACCATGCGTCGCGTTGATTACTTTGAGAACATGTAAATTTGACCACAGCCAGTCGCATTGATTGTGTTTTGTGGCCTCTTTCCTTTTCTGTTTGAACCCGTGGCTGCACTGATGGAACTCCACCCACACACCCTTGCAACACCTAACACCCCCAACACTCAATTCCTATTCCCCTCGTTTTGTCCTTTCTCAACAATTTTGCACATTTCAGCCAGAGAACTGAGCACACACACCCACACACAAAATACTGGTATCGACACATAAACACACACACTTACACCGTATGATAAAAACCCTCAATCAGTTGATCGATTGGAGATTGATTTCTGCCGCTCTTGATTTTTCTTCTTCCTTTTGTAATAGATTGTACTTCAACACTTTCCACATGCAGACTCAATTGATAACACTGTATACGGCAGAATTTACAAGTAAACACACACACACACACACACACACACACACACACACACGCACACACACACACGCACACACACACACACGCACACACACACACACACACGCACACACACACACACACATGCAAACACAACAAGAAGAAGACAACACATTCACACACTTTCATATGAATATTTATTTATGCCTTTCTTACACTCCTTTTTTCACTCTCTTTCAAATATTCCCTTTAACTGTCCCCCTGTTTTTTTTCTTTTTTTCAATTCATTGTATTTTCAAGTTTCTAAATACGATTGTTACTCTGCCAATGTGGGCATTTGTATCCTCACTGAGGATTCCTCAGCCAAATGTATCACTTGCAGTTTCATTCAAAAAGACACCTTGACACAGTTTTTAATTAGAATGATATATTTTCTACGGATAAGTTTAACATGACTTGTTTTGACATTTTGGTTTATTCAAACAGCCACTAACAAGTCACTTCAATGCACACAAATAACGAACATAATATCACCATTTATTTGAAGTATAACTTGCCGTACAAGACTTTTTTTGTCCGATTTTCATTTTCATAGTCTATTTTTGTGCACTTTATTTGCATCACCAAGTTTATTTGAATAACAAACTTATTTTGTTGATACTACCTTTATATTGTTTTAAGCGGCAATTAACAATTAAAGTTAATTAGCTCAGGGCCTAACAAAAGTACAAATCAATTTGTTTTTTTCAAAATTGTTGTTTTAATTGATAAGCTATATTATTAGTAAACTTTGTTTTTTACTTTTTTGAAACGCATATTTGACACGTTTTACAGCTTAGCAAAAATGGGTTTTGGCAAAAAATGAAAATTGTTGATAAGTTACTTGATAGGTTTAGCGTTGCATGTTGATAATGCCGTAGTTGTTTATCGTCAGTTGAACGGGTTGTGTGGGCGGTAGTTGTATGGGCAGCGGTGGTGGTGGCTGATAATATGGACCCGAGTAGTAATGACTAAAATGATAGCCCGGATGATTAGAGGTCGTCGTCGGGTAACAAGGGTTAGGATAGTAGAGAGTAGCTGCAGGAGGAAGAGGAAAAGGTTGATAAGAAGGTTGAAAATTTAAATACTGATAATTTGCAACTCCAGAAACAGCAGGTGCTGGTGCTAAGGGTAAAGTGAAATAGGTGGGCGTCACAAAAGTATTGGTTAGCTGCTGCTGATAAGATACAGTTGCCTGTGCCACTTCAGTGTAGTTTAGGCTATTTTCGTTGTTGTTAGGGTCAAGTAGCTGCTGCTGCTCCTCCTGATGAGGAATCACTGAAAAGGAAACTAGAGGACAAAGTTTTGAAGAACTGTCGTTGAGGCTCCCCACCTCCGCGGAAATGGTAGTGGAAGTTAAAGAAGTAGCAGTTGTCGTAAAAAGCTTCTTATTTTCAATTATACTTTCATCCGCAGTTAGGCTGTTGTTTTCTGCATCAGCATTCTCATCCTTTTCAAATAGCTCATTGGTAGTTTCAATGACTTTGTCTTTTTTCTTCTCTTTAATTTCATTATTTTTGGTTCCTTCAATCGACGGCTTCATGCACTGATCTGTCATTTTTGAATTTAAGATCGTTTTCGCTGACACCTTTTTCTGGTGCTGAGCTCTAAAGTGGGCGGTCAGATCGCGCAGCGTGATAAAGCGAGCGGTGCAGAGGGAGCATTTGAATCGGTTCGATGTTGATGACTGAGTTTGCACAGTGCTATCGGATTCATTAGTGACCGTATTGCAATTTTCGTCTTCATCATCTTTATTTTCATCTTTTTCCTTCTCATCATCATAAATTACCTGCTCAATTGAAGTTGTCAGGGCCGACTTTTTCTTTAAGGGAGGAGCACTTTTTGTTGGCTGTTTCTGCTGCAGCTGAACGCAGGTGTCCTTTTTCACCACCTTCTCCTTCATCTTCAACTCCAACTTCCCGCCACTCTCCACTATCGAGTTGAGCACTATCTCCCTTGCACACCACTCTTCTGTGGTGTGGCTGTGTGTGACGTGCCGATAGAGGGAGAGCAATTTTGTGAAGACGGGCGCGTCCACGCCCTGCCTGCAGCCGGCGCAGCGGATCAGCCAGCAAAAGTCCTTGTGCAGGGCAAAGTGGTGCTGCAACGCCTCCACCGAAAAGAAGCGATTGCTCAGCTCACTCTGGGGACAGAGTGGACATCGGCAGGAGAGGGCCATTTTGTCCTTCATTTTTTCTTCCAAAGCTCGCCGAACTTTTTTGGCGGCGGCAATTTGGTCGTGGTGGCGGCGTTTGGCGTGCATTGCCAGCTGCCTCAGCTCGGTAAATCGCGTCGGACAGTGCCGAGAGCCGACGGTTACGCTGGGACAGTGGTGCACCCGTTCGGTGGAGTACCGTGTCTTGCAGTAGGGACAAGTTCGATCTGTGGAGCCATCTTCTTCTGTAGAAAAAGAAGAAGAAGCAGAAGTAGAAGCGAGGAAGGTAGTGGTGATAATAGTCTTTTTATTCCCTTTCTTTAACGTTGTTGCCAGCCGCCGCATCGACAAACGAATGCGATTGTAGACGCTGGAAATAACGTTCTTGCGGCGAGTTTTGCACGCCCTGGATGTAGCTGGAAGGTATTTGAGGTCCACTGAGGAGGCAGAAGAGGTGTTGTTTTTGCTGTAGGGTTGTACCTTGGTTTCCTCTAGCATGGTGGGCAACCAGCGCTCGAAGTAGTCGCACTCGTGCTCCTGCATTGGCGAAAAGAAAGCTCCGCAGTAGGGACAGGTTTTCAGGTAGCCTTTAGGGGTGGTGGTGGTGGGAAATGCTGCTGGCTCAGTTGTTGCCTTCTTCATAGCGCTGTGGCAAAGGATATAGAGAAAGTGGGAGTTGTAGATTAGACAGGTGATGAGGTTATAATCAAAGTGTGATACTTGAGCGTTGCTGATCTTTGTTGACACTGCTTTTTTGTCCCCTATTAGATCTAAATTTTCTCAAGATGATATAAAATAATTTAGATGATGATCAAGATAAAAAATTGTTAATCGATTCAGATTTGGCGGATCAAAAAAGTTTGTTTACTTACCTTTTCTCCTAATCTTTCTTTTTCGTTTTCTGCTGTTGCTACTTCTTTTTGCCTCGATCAAGAACACCAAAACAAACAGCAGCTCGTGCTGCCACATTCATTTTTTTCAGTTCACAGTTCAGTATTAAGTCTCTCCTAATAAGATCACTGAGCAGACAGTAGACTGAGTAAATGCCCTAATTTGAAAAAAGTTATGATGCACTGTTACTGTGCTAAACAAATAACACAGTCGTAAGCGTAAGGATAAACGCCGTCCTTTGCATTATATCCCAGTACAGAGGGACCACAACAAATTCCTAACTTTTTTTAAATCAGGGCATTTACTCAAACTAGCGGACAGCAGCATGTACGTTTCCTTGAAAACAGGACAAGTCACCGAAAAGAAATAGGCTGGGCTTTTTCGCCTCTGCCTCCTGTATCCAGCTTACACTCTCTACTGTGTACAATTGGTAAGGGGTAGTGCCAAAAGTAGAAAATTGGGTGGAAAACTAGTTGAAGAATATTTGGTATTGTTGTATTCTTCTACAGCTCGTTTTAAATTGGTTGTCCAAGCAATTTTGTATTACAATCTTTTGCATTTTAATTTTTGTAATATTGTCTGATTTACCCTTTTGATAATGCCATTGCTGGCGGGATAATTAGCTGAGGTAAACACAATTAAAATGTTGTGTTTGAACAAAATTGTTTGGAATGTTCTACTTGTTTTGGCGGAATAATTGCCACAATCATCTGCGGTTTTTGCACTGTCATTACTTTTTGTACTAAATAAATAAAATTCTGCGCAATTTTCGTTTTTGAATCGACCGCCCAAATAGATCGGGTAAAAAGTAAATTGTTATTACAACAACTTAAAACATTGTTATTTTTTTAAATTGTACACAAAAAAGTACACTAGCAGCAATTTTGTTTTGTCAGTACTTTTGCTAATCACTTATTTTTATTTCATTTTTTGTTATTTTTAATAAAGATACTAATCACTAATTTATCAAATAAAAAAACTAAAAATACAAACTGGAAACAAACAGTAAAGGTTAACTTGTTTAACTCAAAGTAAAATTTAACTTAATGCAATAAGTTTTTTGTTGTAAAAAACACCACTTTTTAAACATTTTGTCTAGCTATACTAATATGCTTGTTCGTATATTGGCTATAAATATATATTTGCAACTTAATTTATATGTGAATGTTGATTAAAAATTAAGTTGTACCATTACGTTGTTGTTTTGATTCAATCGAGTTAGTCTTTAGCTGAAGATATAATCAGATTAAGTTCCGTTTGGCTGCTCTAATCCCTTGAGATTGGCCCCGACTCTGCACTGGATGCATCCTCCACTGCTGCTGCTCTTTTCGTTTGCCTGCTTCACTAAATTGGCAAGGGGATTTTTAATGGAGAAGATGTCTGCCTAGCACAGTCACAATTTTCCAATGAGACTGGTGAGCCAGTCAATTTAAAAAAGGAAGGGGCCACAGTTAGTGATGCGCTATGGCTAACATGCTCTGCTCATTGAACCACTCTGTCAACAATTAAAGTTATCTCTCTCTCTCTCTCTCTTTCTCTCTCTCTCTCTCTTTCTGTGTGCATCACTAGTTTGCTGTTATTCGATTTAGATGCGTTCACCAGACAACGGAAACGCACTAGGCAGGCAATGTGTGTGTGTGTGTTATTCCTCTCTGAAACGGGGCTCAATTCTGGTCGTGGAACTTTTCTATATAGTGGCAGAGTGTTGTGTGATGCGACTGTGGATTTTTCCGATGCAAAACAGTGATGTCTTCTAGTGGGACTTGTCACTTCTCTTGTTGCCTTTAGAGGCGCTCAACGGAGTTTAGATATTGATTGTAGATATCAGTTTTTTCCTGCTGCCAGAATGGGTGCTGCCAATGAGAAGGCAGCAACCTGGTGCCTAGCAATGTTGCTGCTAAGAGCTCTACTCTGTTTGCCAGCAGTACTTTTATTGCCAACAGTTGCTGCTTCAAACAAGTAAGTAGTTATTGTAGTATATTGATTTTATTTTTCAAATTGTTTATTAAACACCTTATTTGTGACAGTTTACAAACGGAGATGGGCAAAAACATAACCAAAATTCTCAACGGTTTTTTCGCCAACAAACGCTACGACAAACGAGTGAGACCCAACTACGCAGGTAAGTGTACTGATGTTTTTGTTTGTTTGTTTTCTATTCTAAAACAAACATCCTTTTTTCTGCCTTTCTCTAGGACCGCCAGTAGAGGTAGGCGTCACAATGTACATCATCTCCATCTCATCAGTGTCCGAGGTGCAGATGGACTTCACCTGTGACTTTTACTTCCGGCAAAGCTGGAACGACTCGCGGCTGTCGTTCAAACAGCGTGGCGGCATCACCGCACTGAACGTCGGCTCCGAAGTGGCCAAGCTGATCTGGGTGCCGGACACCTTCTTTGCTAATGAAAAGTCAGCCAAGTTTCACGAGGCGACTACCGCCAATACGTTTATACGGCTGAGAGCCAACGGCAATGTGTTTAGGTCAACGCGACTCACTGTCACTTCTAGTTGCCCGATGAACTTAAGATACTTTCCAATGGACCGCCAGGAGTGCACCATTGAAGTGGAGAGCTGTCAGTCCTTTTACTACTAAACAACATTTATATAAATTATTGAATTATTTTTTTTTCACAGACGGATACTCAATGGCAGACATTCTGTACCGCTGGGGCATTGACAAGGCTGATGACCCGCAAGCGGCGAAGATGTCTCCTAATGTCGAACTTCCTCAGTTTAAAGTGAAGAATTTGGAGCAGCACTCCAAAGTAGAGTACCTCACTTCAGGTAATCACTGGTTACAAGACTGGTAAATGTATAAAAAAAGATCAAACTTATCGACAACATCATTTTTATAATCTATACAGGGAACTACTCACGCCTAGTTTGTCAAATAAACTTTGTCCGCTCAATGGGCTACTACCTCATTCAGATATACATTCCCGCCAGTCTCATTGTCATCATCAGTTGGGTGTCCTTTTGGCTGCATCGAGTAAGTTGATAAACTAAAAAATTAACTGATTTTTTACCACAACTCAACTCAACACAACCTTTCAGAACGCCTCCCCCGCTCGGGTGCAGCTGGGCGTGACGACGGTGCTGACGATGACCACGCTGATGTCCTCCACCAATGCCGCTCTGCCGAAGATCTCTTACATTAAGTCGATTGACGTCTTTCTGGGCACCTGCTTCGTGATGGTATGTGAGGTTAAGATGCAGTCGTGTAGCAGTCGTAGTCGCGATCAGGCCAGTTTGTGAAGTGTGACCAGCGGGCACCAGCGTGGACGGGCTTGTCCGGCTGATCTGAAGATAAGCCTCCTTGCTCTCTCAGTAAATGTTCTAGCACGTTTGAAAAAATTAGATTATTATGTCTTTATTTAGCAATTCAAACAAAGGTCAAATATGTAGCAGTGCAGATGTGTGTGTGGACTCTTCAGAAGCAGTTGTTTAGCAGATTCTCCTCAGCAGGTTAGTCGAAATCAAAGCAGCCTTTTCACACCACTCTTTAATCACCTTTCAGCAAAGCATCAATAGCAGTACAGTGTCACCAGTCTCTCTTCAGCTGCTTCTCGTTGGCAGTTTTGCTTGCGAATGCAGTTTTGGTCACTTACTGATAGCTCCTCAGTCAGATGTTACAGACGTCACTTCGGTACAAATGAGTGCTGTGGCGGATGGTTTTCCACAACTTCAGTCGCGCAACGGTGCGCTTCAGGCGGATAAGTCTATGAGTGAGGGAGAATGCGCCGGCAGCCGATAGCGTCTCAAAGGAATGTATTTGGGGAGAAGAATAGAGAGGAAGGATAACAAAATAAAGGGGGGAGAAGGTAGAAAAGAAGAAGAGAGAATACAAGTCTCAGGATAGATTGTGAAGAGGGTGAAGAGGGAGAAGAGGGAGAAGCGTCCACGCTGGATGATAGCTAAGACATGTGTGTTGTCACCCACGCCGGCGTATCGCTGAGCTCACTTAGCCAGCCGACTACTTTGGCGCAATGGGCGAGTGGTGTCGCGCTCGCCACAAGTGCAATTTGGCAAGATGATTTTCACCCTGTTTGCCGTTTCAAAGGTCATTAGTCAACGCAGAATGTTTGGGTTTTATCTCTACAGGTATTCGCCTCTTTGCTAGAATATGCTACTGTGGGTTACATGGGCAAAAGAATTGCCATGCGGACGGCAAGGATTCAGGCGCAGGCAAAGGTGGCCACCGCTCGAAGAGCTGCAGCTGCGGCGGCGGCTGCAGCTGCAGCTAAAGAAAACAACTCCGTTTTCAACCACCACCACCACTACCTAGAGTCAGGTCTGACAGGTGGCAGAGCTGACCCTCACGGACACTCCCATCATGTTCCCAGCAAGCTGATGGGCTCTTCACCCTACGCCAGTGATCCAATGCTGGCCAGCAGTGTTGAATGTGGCAACAGCTGCAGCGGCAGCACCTTAACCTCGCCCCGACTGAGCAATGCAGCGATGACTACTGAAATGCGCTACCGAGCTGCAACACTTCAGGGTGGTGGTGGTGGTGGTGGTGGTGGTGGTGGCCGTCCTTCGGTGGACTACTCCTCACGACGGAGGATGCTCTCCATTGCTGCCGTTGCTGAGCCCACCGAGCCGAATGAGGCGCCCAGAGAGCCCGGCTCCAGTGCCACCACACAGTCGGCGCCCGCCATTGCCATTCCGGGCGTCAGAAATCAAAACAGTCTCTTTGGCATTTGTCCAAGTAAGTATTTGATTTTGATATAACTGTTTGCTTAGTAAAAACACTTTTCACTTTTCCCCACAGGCGACATCGACAAATACTCGCGCGTCGTCTTTCCCGTCTGTTTTCTCTGCTTCAATCTCATGTACTGGGTCATTTATACGCACATAAGGTAACTAAAAGCATAATAGCAAAATTATTTACTGCAATTTAACTTTTATTTAATATTTTTTCAGCGAATTTTTTACCGAAGACGATACAAACTGAACTTCATTTCATTTTAATATACAAATAATCACATTAAACTCAATAAAATTTGCATTGGTTTGCATTTTAATTTTATTACACTCAATACACTGAAAAGCTTTTATTTACTTTAGTGCTGCTGTGCAAAAGTTACATTTTTCAGCTATATTAAACAATAAAGCAAACATTTTAAACTGCATTGCCAATACTTTATATATTCCGCACTCAGCAAACACACTTAAAATGATTTCAAGTCACCGTTATGTTTATTTAAGTAAGTACTAGCAGGGTTAGCATAAACTCAGTTTATGCAGTGTACTTTTATACCAATGTATTTTTAAGATTCAAGTTTTCATTTGATTTTATTTTTTTAATTGTCTGTCTGTTTTAAAAATGCAATTTTTATTATTTCAAAATTTCAAAACTAAAATTTTGTTTTTGATTTGAATTTTCAGGTAGCAAATAAACCATAAAAATTAAATTAAATTAAAAAACAAAATTTAAAATTGTTTGTAAAATCATAACATAGGCAAAGTTTTTAGGGTTATCTTTGTCAATGTTATCCTTGGGTTTAAACAAAAGTTTTGACTGGAGCGAGTAATAGCCCAAACAAAGCTACCCCTAAACCTAAACCTAGACCAAAACCTAAACCTAAATCTAAACTTGTATCTAGACTTAGGCCTAGATCTAAACCTAAACCTAACCTAACCTAAACCTAAACCTAGACCTAGACCTAAACCTAGACCTAAACCTAAACCTAGACTTAGACTTAGAATTAAACCTAGACCTAAACCTAAACCTAGACGTAAACCTAAACCTAGACCTAGATTTAGAATTAAACCTATACATAGACCTAAACCTAAAACTTCCAGCAAATTTACTTGACCGACAGATCACCCTGACGTAACTTGGACACTGTCAACTCCAGCCGCCTCGGCCAGTGCTCTGCTTTCCTCACTTTCCCACTGCTTCCCCTTGTTAGAAAATCACTGATCAGCTTTTCCACTCTGCCCCCAGGACAAAATGCTACCGTTAACCAAATGCATTGCCAGCCGCTAGTAACACAATTCCCACACCTCTTC